AATAACGTTATACAATATAATCAATATCAATATAAATATTTGATTTTTTTTTTTTTTAAATTTGAGTTAACTTACTATAACTTATTACATATTTATAAACTTCAGCTTCTCACAAACACTGAATGGTCATATTGTATGATTAATAATGATACAAATTAATTTGATTAAATTTTGTTTTTTAAATTGATTGTTCTCGGACTGGGTGATCACAATTACGACATTTCATTCTTTTTACTTAGAAATATTATAAAACAACTAAGAATCAATTGAAAATGTTTAACAATTTTCATATATCGTATATTAAAACAACAATAGAATAGTAGAATATGAATACCTACTTATATACGTATAATTAGTTTTAAATAACTCGTAAGTAAATAATACTGTCATTTTAATAATATGAAACGTGGTCTCATTGATATACCCGTAGTTTTTAGTTGTTTTTTTGTAAGAAAAACGTGTATATAGTCTACTGTCATAAATAATTATTATTTAATAACAATTAAAAATATTCAAATGTTTTCCATGTACTAATTACTATCATTTAACGGATATAAAATTAAATATTTTTCGTTGGTTGCGCAATCGCATTAGGTTTTTTCAGGTGAAAAATCCAAAAGGTAACAGTTCATTATAGCTATAATATGACCCATCGCCTATGACTTATCACTTATGAGTCATATTGTTGATAATTATTATTGTTTGCTTATAAATAATAAATGACAATCACTATTAAACAGACAATGTTTAATATGAGCATATTATATAGTATATTGTCCAATACAATACGGTGTAATATACATCATACAATTTTAGTTGATGAAATATAAATAATTAGCTATACGAGTTTAATAAATATTTAAATCCAAAAATTTTAATTACTCTGATACTATATTATATTATGTAGATTAACTGTACATACCTATAACCTTTACTCAATGAGGTACCTATCCAGAATTTTAGTAGGTACCTATCACAGTATCACAGATCAGCGTAGATTATAAGAGACCATCACTCATATAGCACCAACCAACTACCTATTATTATAATTTATAAGCAACAATAGCGATTTACTTCATTTACCTAGGGATTTCAAATGTTGATATCATGTATAACTAATTTGCAATACAAACTTCTATAAAAACAGCAAATACTATTTTCTTTTGGGATCCAATCGTTATAACATTTTAATTGTTATAACTTATAAGTAAATGTGTACCTACTTATTAATTGGTCCCTGCTGACAAACTTTTCAAATAGATACTGCTACGCATGTCAGGTTTTATTGTACCTACTGAAATAAACTGTAACTTGTATACCAAACTCAATCTGTATAAATACTTTATATCAATTTTTATATTTATTTTTTAGTTTCGAAATTTGACACTATATTCTATAGTATAATTACCTACTTATAGTCAAGGTTAGACATTAAATCGTTGAAGAGTAAAATTTACATCAAAATTGGCTTGGTTGTCATAACGAATTACATTATTTTTTAAACAAATACTTAACTTGTATCATACTAAGTTGACATGTTCTATGATATGCAGTTATTAATCAATTAACTAATTTTAAAATTTGAGTCAAGTTAGGTTAATTTTATTCCATTATGAAGCTCAAGGATTTAAAATACATCTATTTTTTTTTAAATAAATAAATAAATAATCATGAATATTTTTATAAAAATATGTACTAAATCGTAACTGTTGCAGAAGTATTATTGATTTGTACTATTGCTGGATTTCAATAAATATCAATAAGACGCATGAATACAATTTTATGTACATTTTCATAGAAATATTCAAATATATATACTCGCCTTAACACAATTAACACTTGGATTTAAAATAAAAGATAAAGAGACACGGCTAAGAGTACCTGCGGCCTGCAGGTAAACATATTTTAAAAAGCAAGTAGGTAGGTACTATTTAATTAACCACTTATACAAATATACAGTTATGTTAAAGTGGAAACAAAGACTGTAGTCTATTTTAAATAATAAAGTAAAAAGTTTAAATATAAACAAAAACATAAATAAAAATATGATTGAACGTCAATTGGGGTTAAAGGTAAAAGAATAGAAACACTAAATAGGTAATCTATATAATATACATTTATTGGGAACGGAAACTAAATTCTATGCTGAATTTTAATTCGAAAAAACTAATAGCTAGAAATTAAGTTTAAAAATATGAATGATGTTATTTGTAGTTCGATGGAAAATGTATAAAAAATAAATTAACTTTAAAAACGGTATCAAACAAGGACCGAAAGTAACAACTCTGTTGTACAATAAATAGGTAGGTACCTATATTAATTTATTTTATTATTATAGAAATATTATGAATTTAATTAATTTTTTCTGAAAACGTTGGATTTATTGATTACATTATTAATAATTAATATAGTACTTTGTACCTTTTATGTATATATTTATATAATGATAAAAATAATAATACATCATTGTAATTAACTTTTGAATAAATATCAATGATGTGTGAATAGTTTCAAATATATATATATATATATATATATATATATATACATCAGTTTTAAATGTCTCAAACAATGTTTTTAAATCATAATAAAATAACTAACACTGTTGATTTTTATTTAATTGTGTAATTTTGTTAAAATTTAACTTTAAATGCTTACGAGAAAAAATTGTGTTCATTCCAATATTTTTAAATACCTACTTACGTACCTATAAAGTTATAAGAACTTGGCAAAAAAATTGAATTAAACTAAAGAAAAATCAAAAATTTCTCATGTTTATAATTAGTTCAAAAACAGTCAACATATTTAGATTCTTATATGTAGAAAATGCTAACACAAACATTTGTCAAAAATTTTTTAAGTATACATGGGTTATTCCTTTTTGGGTATAAATTCATGTTTTTATTTTATTTTTTTCTCACTTATTATGAAAACAACAAAGAATTTATTATTTCTTAAAAATGCAAAATTATATTAAGAAATAATTGTAAAAAGAAAGAATTTAAACAAATAAACTTAATTAAAAGCGATTATTATATCAGTAGGTACCTACTTCACATTACAAAAAACATTGACAATATTAACAAAAATAATGACTATTAAAAATGAAAGTAAAAAGTTAGGTACTCAGAAAATTCTCATTTTAATTTCGATTTAGATGAATCAAAATTATTAAAATAATCGTCAACTTATAGTAAAAAGATATCTCATAAAATAAAAACATTTATAGCAGGACATTTCTAAAATATTATAAATTATGGTAGGTATTTTTTTTTTTTATCAAGTTTTTATCATTCAAGTGATAAGCTGTGGAATTTTGTGTTTATTAATTATAAGTTGTAAGATTTAGAACAAGTGTTTCTCTACATGGGATATTGTTTCATCGATTAGAACTCGAGTGGTCATCTATCCAGGATAGCAGTCATATTATGTCCTAATATTGATATTAAATATTTAAAAATACCAAAATTAATTTTTTTAATAACTTTATAATTGAAGGAATTAGTGTGAATCAGCATACTGAAGAAATTCTTCTCTGTAAATTGTTTATTCTAATTAAAGAGTTGGAAGTCCTAATTGTAAACAAATTAACAGTAAATTAATAATATTATTTATTATTGCTATTAAATGTTCTACTTTGCAATAATAAATTTTTTAATGTTAGTCAATAATTCAGTAGAAGTTCAAATTGGACAAACAAGTGGAAAATTAAGATAAACGAAAATAAATCAGTTCAAGTAAATTTCACGTTCAATAAAAATGACTGCCTTCAACTATCTATCATAACATTACTTATACCAATAAAAAATTTAACCAAATACTTTTGGACAAGACTAACTTGGGCCCAATATACAAAAAGAAAATAGTGTCACATACACTTACACCTTCTCTGTTCGTTATTCTTTTCAATGAATATGGAAAACAAAATTTTAATAAATAAAACAATTTTTTTATAACTCTTCTCTTGTCATGTGACACTAAAATTTGGAGCTAAGACAAGCCCTTGGACATAAGACCAATCAAGTCTTTCAATCAATGTCTTGACAATCACTAGAGCCCCATGGCACATGACCAACAAAGCTCTACATCAGTGGTTCCCAAAGTGTGCGCCGTGACATTTTTACAAGGATGTCACACTATGCAGTGATATGCAAGCTCATCCATCTTATTAATGTAATATGTATAAATAAATATTTACCTAAATCTTAAGAGACTCAATAAATATGTATAAATTAAATATTATTACAATTACAAAAATATTTTCATATCACCTATTACAATTTTTAATGTTTTTACTCATTTTTTTTTTTTTTATTTGAAATTAAAGAAAGGTACCCTGAATCACAAAAATTTGGGTACTACTGCTTTACATAATGATTTACAGATATTAACAGTTAACTAAGAAGTAATCTGTCTACAAAAAATGGCATTCCAAACAAAAACACATTAATCTCTGATATGTCATCAATCACCATTCCAGCAACCTACTGAGAAGAAAACTTAAAAGAAAATGGCGCAGGGACGTCCTCATATATACATAATATACAAAATAAAAAATTATTTCCCCTGAACCCATCTTAATTAGGAAGTATTGCTGCTGAATGGTTCCTTCCACAAGCTAACAAGCCAATTTTATATATTTAAACCATTTACTTATTATGCTATATTTTGTATATATTTAAAAAAAAGCTATTTCAATATGAAAAAAAAAATGTATAAATTTAACATTTGGTTGTATAAGTTGAAATTTTTAATCTTAAATAAATAGTATATTAGCAAATAAATCATAAATTAAATTTCAAGATCTAGTGTTTATTTCATATCTCAACAGTAATTATTGAAAATTATTATTTAATTAGTATACAAGATAATACTCATAATTATATTCTTCATTTCGAAGAGACTTAAAACAATCAATGTAATTTATAAAAGAAAATCATGTTTTTACTTCATAAGGATAAAGATAATTAAGACTAAAAGCAGTCTAAACAATTTATAGATGGTATTATTACATAATATATAATTGAATTTATTTTGAGCTCAGGATTAAAATATATCTGTGACACAAATATTCATCATTGGATTCATTTATCTTCTTGTTTTTTAAGTTGTTTTTCTCTCATTCTATCGGCATCTCTGAAAATAGAACAATTTTGTTAATATATTTAATAACTTACAAAATTTATACAAAATTAAACATTGGTAAAATATTAAGGTATAAATTAAAACTTTAAAGCTAAATTTAGTCAACTAAAATGAATGTAAAAAAATAATTGTTGCATTATAAATTAAGTCGTTAATATTATTTTTCTTACATATAATTATTTCAGTATCTTATAGAAATTACAATATGGTTTGTATTTTATTTAAACCAATTTTGAGTTATGTCAGGTTGAAAAAAAAAATTAATCTAAGAGAAGGATATTCTATCTTTTTTTTCAACGGTATCCTGTTTTTAATTTAAGAATTGAAAATAGAATTAGATTTAATGTAAATATTAAATTATTTAAAACTGCATAGTGGACTATGGAGACCATTTGACCAGTTTTAAAAATGTACCTACTGACATAGAATGTATTACTTCTTTTAAACATCAGTATGTTTGTTAATAATTAGAAATTTAATATTTGATAATAAAAATATACATGAAAAATCTCTAAAATGTATTCTGAGAATCAATAATAAAATCAAAATATGGATAATAAAATAACTAGTAAAATCATAAAAAAGTAAAAACTATGAAGAAAATATAAAAAAAAATCTCATAAATTATTCTTATATACTATTAAAAAAGATAAAGCAAAAATCATTAAATTACAGAGAAAAAAAAAATAATAATTACAAAACAATTAATTATTTTAAAATATAAATCAACAATTAGTATTATTGAATTTATGAATTTATTGATTGAAAACAGAAGATGTTTGTATGAAATTAATTGTGATCCTATAATTGGTGACCAACTATGTAATTGGAACATTCCCAATTTTATAAATGTACCAAGCATTATTATGCAAGTTAATAAAATTGAACAAACATATTTAAATCAAATCAGTAAGCTATTTACAGGGGTAAATTAGGGAGACATATCTTCCATTTTATTTAGTTTATATTTATATGGTTATAGTTATTTTATCTATTTATCACTTTGTCAATAAGTAATAAAATTCTGGTACATATGTCAATTTCGGGTCATAATCCCCTCCTCCTTCTATGAAAGAAATCCTAAACACACAACTAAATCTGGAAGTGTTAAATGTCTTTAACTTTAATATCAAAATTTCATCATTACTATGTATGTACAGTGTACTTAGTGATTATCTACCTTTGTTTTCTTTGTTCCAACGTCAAACCTTGATTTGAACCTTTGTCCGAAATTCCTTTTTTTTTGGCTTGTTCCAATTGTTTCTTTTGGTTCTTTTCGCGCGCAAGATCTCTAGCGTTACCCCCTAGAAAACAAAAATAAAATAATCATATTATGCTTCTGTAAACGAGTCAGAAATGTAACTCATACTTACTCGCCATTTCTTATCCGAGATTGGTGATTATTATTTACTAGGTTTCACAATCCGCTACAAAACTTGGACTATGCGTGTTCGCAACTGTGTAAAATCCTCAGTGAACTGCAAGAAATAATATCACAAATTAGCAAAATTGAAAACTAATTAAATTTGGAATAAGAGTTTAATTTTTAAGAAATTCATACCAAATTCCAAAATGATAACAATTGGCTTGGTTAAATGGTCAATAGCACTTCAATTGTTCAGTAGAACCACGGTTGTAGATAGCAATACATCCAACCAAAAAATCCTTATGCTATTTAGAAAAAGTGGGGAGATACGGCCGTAAATATATAGGCGCTGCCATTTTGTTATTTATCAGAATCAGCTGTGAGCTGAATGATGGCTTATAATAATATAATATCACTAATATCAGTAATATACTTATATCGCTTTTGGACCACGACATATTAATAATATACTATTAAATTAATTATTATATAAATTTTGTTTTATTTAATTATTTTTTTTAGGTATGATTTTAAGCCATATATTTTAATATATATAATAAATATAATTAATACATATTATTTCAAAAATGTTATAATTTTTGAGTTATCGATTCTTCACGTAATGCTTCAAAATTATTTCTATATGTAATAGTTTTAAATAGTTAATTACATTCATAAGAATAAGCTTAGTTTTTATTCATAAGTACTTTGGTACATACTAAATATAGTATGTAGTTAAGTAATCTAGGAAAAATGCTTTTAACTTAGTATTTTTTCTATGATGTACATAGTTACATATTATAAATAATAAATAGAATCGACATATTACATAATATTAAAGTGGTTTAAATAATTTAACCTTTAGAGTTTTAAGGATTCTCTTTATCTTTAATTTAAGTACACAATTTTATTTTTATGTTGTAAAGCACGGATCTTTTTTTTGATATTTAAAATACACATCACTTGATTTAACAAATTTAAAAAAAAACTAGAGGTCCCCTAGATAATATTCTTGCCTTTATGTTTGATAATAGGTCAAGTCTTTCTAATAGGTATTTAAACTAACAAACTACAAAGTAAAGCAGTTTTTCTTAACTACATTTGCTATTTCTATTAGTATTTAATACCTATTTACTATTTAGTATTTAGTAAGTTAAACAAAACAAAACATATGGTGGGGGAAGTTGTAAACAGTATCTAAATGTTTATGAGCACAATCAACACAATCATTATGACCAACATGAACCGTGGTGTGTATAGAAAATAAATATAATATACCATGATTGTATAATGTTTATCTACAAGGGAAATTTAGCGAGCATAAAAATGTTTTGACCATGCGGATGTTATCAAATGTTTAGAATATTTTCAAAATCTATATTATTTGATAAGAATTTAAAAGTTTAAAACTTTTTATTATTTAATATTTATTATACAAACGAAATAATTGTTATAAGTTTAACTTTTTTTTTTTAAATATTTTTAAATTAAAATAAATGTAAATGAGTTATAAAGTTAATGTTTAAATAAATATCATGACAGCTTCTAATCTAGAAAACATTATCTCGCGAGGTGATTACTTAATTATTAACAAAAATGAAACTTATTTAATTCATCAAATATCGAATAAAGCTTTATTAAAGTTAGGTCGTGATGTCATCGATCTGAAAGCTGCTATCGGACAACCGTTCTCATCTACTTACAAACTAGAGCCAGTTCCAGAAAAAAAAAGACATTACACATTGGTAGTATGTAACGATAATCAAGCGCGTAACCAATGGTCAACAAATGGTTGTGGTACCGATAATAAACTTATAACCGATGATAGTTCATCTCAGTTGTTGAGCACTGATGAAATAATAGCATTAAAAGAAAGTGGAGAAAGTGGGCAGAATATTGTTGAACGATTGTTAGAAAACAGCAAGACATTTCAGCTAAAGACTGAATATGCTCAAGAAAAATACTTGAAAAAAAAAGCCAGGAAGTATTGTGATTATTTAACTATATTTGAACCGTCAATACGGCTTATTACGGATGTTTTATACAAGCAACAAACTCTTCCTAAAACTATAGCTTTAAGGTTTGATACATTAGCTCAAATATTATGTCGTGTGAATTTGGATCCTGGTGGCAAATATTTGCTATATGAGAATGGTAGTCAAGGATTATTACAAGCGGCACTTCTTAATCAATTACATGATGATGGACGCCTTGTACACGTATTCTCTTCAACATCTGAGCAAAATGCATTAAGAGCAGTAAAGGCTATGAATTTTTCTGAAACTAAAATAAAACAAATGTTAACCGTGAGTTTAGATGAAATATTGAATACAAAAACTGAAGACAGTATTCCAGAAGAAAATGATGAAGAAGATGTACCAAATTTTTCAGAAGATAAAAAAAGGAAAAGTGATGAAGCGTATACACAAATAAAGAAAAAACATCGACCAATAACAAGTACAGATGGTTTAGATTTTATAAAATCAAATAAATTTGATGGCTTAATTGTAGTCTGCAGAGAGGAACCAATTGAATTTGTTAAAATACTTTTACCATACTTATCTTTGTCAAGGCCTTTTGTCATATATTCACCGTATAGAGAAGTGTTAGTTACTATGTATGCTGAATTTAAGATGAGAAGAGATGTTGTGTACCTTCGATTAACTGATAATTTTATGAGATATCATCAAGTCCTTCCAAATAGAACACATCCTGATGTCACAATGGATGATGGAGGTGGTTTTTTGTTTTCTGGATTATTTGTTGCCGGAACTAAATAATACAATTGTAAATAATTTCATTAATAAATGTTGTTATTTTACAAACAAATATTTATTAATTGTTATTTATTTAAGTATCCATTATTTCCCAATTCTTATATAAATCAATTACCTATTAACAATAAAATAATTGTAAATAATACATTCATTGTTTGCTGAATTATTTTTATTTCATATAAAATAAAATCATTGTATATTTTACAGTAGAATTGAAAAAGACCCAACCATTTTATAATTTTTTGTTGAGTTATGATGGCCTATGTCTAAGTTGGATTTATCTCTTAATGTACAATTTAAAATGTTCTATGTTTAACATTTATAGTAAAAACATCTACACTGACTACACTATATACACCATAGAACAACTAATATTATTTTGTCAAATAAACTAATAATTTTTATATCTTATAATTTCTAAAAAATTTAACACAATGTATGATGTACATTTTTTCAAAAAGGTTTTTTTTATTTTGATGATAATTGATCATTCATTTTATGGTCTATCATTGAAAAATGATTTGGAAGACAATTTAATTTGTGGACTTTCCAAGAAACAAATTCATGAAGCAATGTCTTATTCTAATAAATATTCATTGAAAGGTATTGCTAAAAATTCAGAGTGCTTGGAAGAACAAAACATTGGCAATGATTATTGCTTAACAGAACAGTACAAATTGATTGAATGTCTTCAGAAAGAATACTTTTTGGCCAAAGGTAAACTAAAATTCGCAAAAGTTTTCAAAATAACCAGGAAAAAATACGTACTTAAGAATTGTTTAAAGGAAGGATAAGGCATTCAGCATTGGATCATACATATGAAGTGGGGAGGGGGGTTTTGAGATTTCCAATATATACCTACTATTATGCTGTTTAGTATACACGAAATTTTATTTTTGATACCAATTACCAACTAATATAATTATTAACCACAATAAAAATCAAATCTAGAATTGTAAAAAATCACGTTCAAATATTGTTGTAAAAATAGGCAAAGTAACCAATATTTTAAACATAAAATGGGTTCTTAGATAAATATCCTTACTAGTGTCTGTAAAGGCTTTTAGCCATTTTTTACTTTATTTTGACAGTTTAATTTTGTTTTATTATCTACAAAACTTAAAATAACTATATTTTTATACGTAAATGTAAATTACAATCGACTAGTTCACTTTCGACGAAATTACGAACGTTATTTTTTCGTCAAATAAGAATATCGATAAATTGATTACATGCAATATACAACTGTTATAATGCTATTCCATAGTAGGTATACATCATTTTAGTTTAAAAATGTCTTTGTTTTTTTTATTTTTATTACAAATTTACGACTGTACAGCCAGCTGCTTGTGAGTTGTGACCGAGTATCGGTAGCGAACGACTGGCGGTAAGAACCAGTGAGTAGGGGTACCCACATTTTTGTTTATTTCTATCAATTTATTTTTTTGTACTATTTATAAAAATGGAAAGACCAATGAAATATATTTTAAAATTAATATAAATAATAAATATCTAAAAAAAAAAAAACAGTAAGGGGATCTATCCCCCCGCCCACCAAATCCCCTTCCCTTGTAAATACACCATTGTAGGGGAAACGGAAAAATCGATTTTGCAGTTTTTTTAGTGTAACTTAAAAACGAATAACCATAGTCCATAGATACTTGAAATTTTTATTATACATTTGTATGAACAATCTATAAAATAATAATGATAAATTTTTCAAAACATTTTGACTTTTTATGATTTTTATTCTATTAACACTTCTGATATTTTTCCAAAAAAAGTCGTTATAATAGACAATTTATTTTTGGTTAAAAAGTTTGAAAATTTAAAACAAAATTCCTCGTAAGTAATTTATACTGTAACCAAAAAATCTAAAAAAATATATGAACCCAATTTTTTTTATAAACATTTTTATTTTAAATGTTGATAAAATTATATATTTTAACAAAAAATAATGACTTTAGTTATTTACTATAATAATTTAAAAATATAATTCGTGGGTACTTGAAACTTTGAACAAGCTATTGAGTACTTAAACTTGTAAATTTTGAATGCCGAACAAGTAAAAATGCTCAGTAATACTACCTATATTAATCATTATAAAAAAAGAATAGTGTCCAGATTTATATTATACATATGTTTTTTTTTTTTTTTTTTAAAGGGAAAGGTGTAAACTTTGAAAATACATAATTTAATATAAGCTTAGAGCTCCAATTCTCAATATTTTTCCCTAGTCTTCCTTTACTTAATCCACCTATGTCTATTATACAAATTGTTACAATATAGCGATATCAATACATGAGTTATTAATTTACATAATTTACAGAACAAGGGAATGAGGTTACTGAAACTAATTTAGCGAAAAAGGACAAAAAACTCCAAGATATAATTAAAAAACGTAGCTTACAAAATATTATTGAAGGAAATGAAGCATTAGATATCATGACTAGAGACTATGAAGAAATAATTGTACAACATTTGCAATCTATTGACAATTTGACGAAAAAAACAATTTGTGTAAATGATATAAATAAAGCATTGACTAATACAAAAGTTGAACTAACTACAGTACTACGACAGCAGATATTGAATAATAACATTGATAAAATAAGTGGACTTGGCATATATTATAATTAATAATATTGTGCAGAATATATTTATTAGGTAGGTTCGCCTAATAGTTAGGTAATACATGCCTAATAATATAAATTTAACACTAAATACTATGAAATTAAATAAATACTTTTTATTGCATGTTCAATGTTTAAATAATACAAACATAATTGTTATATTAATTGGTAATTTACTTTTTACTTATTAGTTAATTATAATTTATTGTTGACTAACGTGTAACTCGTAATAATACCCAAAGTGGCAAAGTTTAAAAATTCAAATTCAAAAATTACCCAAAATTTACATATTTAGTAAAACCACGAATCTTATATTTAATTAAAATCTGCAAGTTGGACCTATTAATTGGTAAACCTATATTACGTAAAATACGTAACACGATTACTAAACTGTGAGCGTTGCGCTCACGCGTTACCTACTAAAAACACCACTAGGTACACAAGAAACACTTGTCTTATTCAACAGTTTTAATATTTTATACATTACTGTGAATTAATTGGATAATAGGGTTATAGGAAATTATATTTTATAGATATAGCCGGTATAAGTATCATCCTAAGTAGGTAGGTACATTATTTTTGTTTTGTCGACTTTTAATTAAAAAATCGCATTCTTCTCTAACATTAGAAATACTTTCGCTATTTTCGGAAAAAATATTCTTAGCATGACCCCCCTTCCTAAAAAAGATCTCTTGTGCACTTTCACGGATTTATATGTTATAGTTTATAGAATATGACGATAATCATACTAAATAGAATACCTACTTGAGATATTCAAACTACTTATTACCACTAAGTTGTATAAATGTATATAAATTATAATTAAAAGTAAACAATTATATTGGAATTTAGGTACCTAGCTAGTTTATGAAAATCAATAGTATAAACTATCAAAGGTAAAACAGTTAATAATTCATTGTATATCTGTAGATAGTATATTAATTGTTTAATTTTGTAGATGCATTCACTATAAAAAATAAATACTCAAATCGATGATGAATATTGTCTATTGAGTAATAAATAATAAATCTTTAATTCGTCAATTTTTAATAAACAAAAATAAGACTAACTGCTGGCAATTTAAATAATTAAAATTACATAATTTAGGAAATTAAAAAAAACATTTAAGAATAAATAATAAACAAATATTATTTAAAATATGAATCAATGAAGAAAATGTAATAAACTAAACTTTTTGATGGGCACTAAATTTGTTAAACCTTTATAATATTACATTGTATAATGTACATTGGTGTGTATTGTTTTTAATAAAATATCAAAGGAAAAACATATAATTAGGGCTCAGAAGTTGTAGAAATTGCATAATATTGTTCTGTATACTCTCAAGTCTCAGTTTATAGCAGACAAAGCTTGAAATCTGAACTATACAATGGACAGTTAAAAAATTAAAAATGCCTATTTTGTATAGGTATTTTGTTAATTTTAGCTAAAAAGATTAGGTCACAATGCCAACCAGTTATAATTTTTTTTCCAGTTATAAACAGTTTTTATGTATATTATTATGTTATTAGTTTATTAACATCTGATGTAATTTTTTTTTTGGTATTTTAAAATAATTTTTTGCATATCATCTAACATCATTTTTAATGCATATTTTTTAATTTTTTGTGCATATTTACATACATATTTTGCCTTTTTTAATTCCAACAGTTTCTAAGCTCTACTTATAATATACCTATTATTACCTATAGTAATAGTAACTTAATGAAATACCGTTTAATATATCAGGCACACTAATTCAGCATAATTTCTGGCGTAATGTCACACAATGTAATTAATAATTTTGATGCCTCACATTTGTTCTGATGACTATGACTTCAGACTTAAGAGGCTAAACATATATAAATATATATATAATATATAATAAGGTGTAGTAATAAGTAATATTGTAATAACAAGCATGCTGGTGTCTGTTATTAAGTATAGGTACAATATTGTGTAATTGGTAAATAGATAATTAATAATAAATTCTAAACAAGAATATCTAAAAATCTAAAATCTAAAGAGTAAAGAGTTGTCTTAAGTTGTTGTTAAGTTACTAAAATTTATAAATTTTGAAAATAGTTACAATTCAAAAGTTAAAACAGTCACATATTTGAAACCTCATTGAAAACAATTCAATACGGGTTGGTCACATTGTTGTATCCTTTGTAGCAACGACGGTTTTATGATAAGGTTTTTTTTTTTTTATGAGCATTGAGAAGCACACGCTACAAGTCTTTGGTTGAAGTGAAGCATTTGTTCAGAAGTGAAAAGCGTGGCGTCGTGTTACTCGTGTCACGGTATTTTACTTTACTTTTCAAATTATTGTGATCTGTTAATTTACAGTATTGGTAAGTAGCAAATGGCCCATCAGTATTTGGACCAAACTTCTGCTATTTTAAAAGACGATAAGGGTTACTTCGTTCCAGCTACACAGCGCAAAGACGGCACTTGGCGTAAGGAAAGGCGACTCAAGGAGAATTATATTCCTCAGGACGAAGTAGCACTTTACGAATCCAAAGGTAAAAAGTTTGCTGCCAATAAACCTAAATTACCTCCAGGTGCACCTGTTGAAATGGTTGCGGTACCTAAACAACAGCAACAAACCAAAAAGGTTCTCACCGAAAAACAACCTAAGCAGGAGAAAATTAAAATGCCTGAGGTACAAAAAGAAAAAGAAAAAGTTAAACCAGTAGAGAAAAAACCTGAGTTAGAATCAGGAACTGACCCTGTTAAGCGGGTGAGAAATCTTAAGAAGAAGTTGAAAAACATTGAAGAGTTGGAAATTAAAGTAGCAGAAGGACATTCTATTGATAATGACCAACGTAAAAAGATTTCGACCAAAAATTTAGTGAATAAGGAGATAGCTAATCTTGAAGCACTTATTAAGTGAGTATATAAATGTTGCTAAATAACTATGATTATTTAAAATACTTTTATACCCATTTTCATTATAAATATTTTTTTGTTTCATAGAGTTATGTTTCCTTCGCCTCCTAAACCAACCAAAAAAGATGGGAAAAAAGATGCTAAAAAGGATAACAAAAAAGATACATCCAAAAAAGAAACAAAACAAGAGAACAAACCCAACAAAGTTAATGACAAAAAATCATCTTCAGTATTGACTAATGGTACCCAGGCTAAGAAAGTTGAGAAAAAAACAATCCCTCCAGTACAACAAAATGGTACAGCAGCTACTAAAAAGACTGAAAAGGTTACCAAACCTGAAGTCAAAACAAAAGCTCAACCGAAGACCCAAGCCCAACCTAAAACTCAATCTCAATCTAAGACACAAGTTCAACCTAAAACGCAATCCAAAGCTAAGCCAGCTGCACCCGTTATTGAGATTTCCGTTGAAGCAGCTAAAAGAATTAGGAACCTCAAGAAAAAGTTGAAGACCATTGATGAACTAGAACTTAAGGTTGCTCAAGGTGGTAAAATTGATAATGACCAACGTGTAAAGATTTCTAAAAAGAACGAAGTTTTGGCAGAAATCCATGCTCTTGAAAGTGGCAAGTAAAGAGCCTGAATCTTTTGAGTATTACAGAGGTTAACAATTTATTTTCTGTTGGTATATATTATATATATATCTAATTATATTGATTCTGATTAAAAAAATAATGAGATTTCTGTTTGTTTTGAAAAAGTATTTTTTTTAAGTTGTGTTCAAACTATTTCAGTTTTTCTTCTTAATTAATATAATTGACAAAAATCAATTAAATAATAACCAAGTTTCATAAAATGTGTTTATTTTTTTTTTTTATTACTTTTAATTCTTTTCCTTTATAAAAAAAATTTGGAATCTTATTCAAACAAATTTTTTTTCTAGTATAATAAATACTCTAAATAAATTTGAGTATGAGTGTGTATGTACTAATATCAAGACTTATTCTTGATTACCATTAAAATATACTTAAAATCCAATGCTATGAAAAGCAATACATATTATCTACTTAAATTTAGTTTTAAAAAAGTGTATAGCAGAAGGCTACTTAATTTTGTTTTGTTTGATATTCTCTAATCTTTGTATACAAGTATAATTTTATTTTCTTGAATATTGCATTGTTCAATTATAAGGTATAAGAAATATTTTTGATGGGATGTTACATTCTATTTTTATTGAAATAATTTATTATTCAGCAACTGTTTTTTAAAGTACCTAAAATAAAGTTACTGACTTGTATAAACTGCTGTATTTGGTTTTATAATTTAAATTGATCTGTTCATAAACACATTACTCATTGGTGATTACTGAGATTCAATTAAGATGGTACACAAATAATTTTAGAAAAAAAATTAATTTTGTTACAGGTATATACCCAAAATAATGTGTTTGGGTAATTAATGGATGGTGGTACTTTGTAGTATCGACAATCGACATGACAGTATATGCAGCACTATAACAATTGATTCATTGCATACAATAAATGTGTTCCAAAAGAACATGTATTATTAGCTATATTGATATGCTTATATTTTTTTATGAATCGTTGGTAGACTTTTCAACACTAAAAAGCTGCCAAAACATATTGGTTTTTTAATAAAAAAATTTTAAACTACACACCGTGCATAATAATTAAAATTTACTAAAAAAATGTATACATATTTTTTGGTAGTTCACTGCCATTGATGTTTCCAATGTAATATTTTGTAGTAGAATTACTTAAATGGTTTTAATGAAGATTATTAAACATCTTTTTTTTAATATTTACTGATAAAAAACAAGGGGATCAAGAAATAAATATTCTAACAAATAAAATATACTTTAAATAAATAATAGAATTGTCTATTAAAGCTATTTTAATATCTATAAATTGTTTTATATTTATAATTAAATATACTTAGAGCAATTTATTTTTTTGTAAATTAATGGAGTTATTATTTATTAATATTATTGGAAAGCATTAAAACCATTTTAAATAGTAATATATCAAAATATTTGATCAGTCAAATTTTTATTTTTATATTAGTTTGCCATTAGGGACTGCATTTAAATCTTTATAAATTATAATTGACATTAGACCTTAAATTGTTATTAGTTAGCTGCAATATAAATTAGTGTTAACATGACTTCAATATTATTTTAACTTGCTTTCATGAACCTAAGATACTTGTCTGATTATCTAAATAATACTAAAATATGATACAATATAGAAACAATTAAAATGTTAAACCCTTTTTTTATAACCAACATGCATTTGAACCTTACCAATCATTTTTCTTCGAATCTAACCTATGATAGATGGTACAAAAATGATTTTCAATTGAATGTATTCTATATGACATTTACACATTCAAAAATTATTCTTAAGTCAATTATATAATAAAAAAACAAGTAATTGGTAACACTAGAATTAAAGGTAATAACTTAATATTATGCACTGTCCAGTATTTGTAACAGACTATAAAATATTGAGTACTGGACTGAGATTAAATAGAGTTAGAGTGATTTATTAAGCATATTTATCAGCAATTTTTATTTAAACTGAATTTATTCAGATTTTGATTTTAAGAATTAATTGTTCCAAATACTTAATTTTTATGCAATTTAAGGTGAAACCTGTTAGGAATACCTAGTGAAACAAACTCATTTTTCCCTCTATTCAAACTATTTTTTTTTTTCTTTTTTAGGTGTTAATGAATAAAAATCGAAGTTATTAGAAATAAAAAGAAAGTTAGAAGAAATTCTCTAGGATAGTGCATCATATTTAAAGTAACTTAAATGGTATAAACAAGTATTTGAAAATATGATCTTCCTTAAAAATTCAAAAAATCAATAGAATAATAGAATTTTAATTAAATGTACTGTTAAAGGATTAAAAAAAGATAAACATTCTTAGTGAAGTATCCTATATATACTAATTTTTCAACTAGATATATTTATTATCAGCTCGCTTCCTTACAATAGTTTAGATCTGGTTGCATCAATATATGAACATGAAATAATATATTTTCTTACTTAGGTAAAATACACGTGTGATGTAGTCCAAAGGGTATTTGAATATGTGTACAATTCCTTGATATTATCATAATATAAATTTAGTAAAGTAATAATAAAAAGTATTATATATGTATACAACGTATATTAAATAATTTGTATTTTTGTATCCATGTAGACATTTATGTACAACATTATTATAATAAGTACTTTAAAAATAATATATTTATAAATATTATTTTAAATGAATTAATATAATTTGTTTAATTAACAACATGCATTTATTGGTTATTTCATTTTAATGAAATATAATTCATCAATAATAAAAACACTTATAATTATCTATTTAATATTGGTTTTAACTAAATAATTTTCACAATCATCCAATAATTCTTGCATTTCAGGATAAGCAGCCAAATTTTTAGCTTCTATAAGAGGCAACCATTTGTAATCCTGGTGTTCATTAGACAACACTACTGGTGTATCAGGATTAATTAAACGAGCTAACCAATAAGTGACTTGTTTGGAAAATGGTTTATCTTTTGGGTCATACTGTAAAAGACCAAAAAAGTCATATTTAGTCAACAAAACATAATCAAAAATGATAATAATACATAAAAGTGTTCAAACTACAGTTTAAGATATAGTTTAGAATTTTTTAAATTTAAAAACCAATAATTTAACTTCCAATTTTCTGACTAAAAATATATGTATTAGATTTTTAAGTTTTAAACTAAACCTGCGTTATTAGATTAATATAATAAACATAATGAATAACATAATTTAATTTTTAAAAATACACCTACATATGAAAAATGAAAAATATATTTCTACAATTTAATATATATACATAAAACCAAATAATGATATAAGACATGAAAATAAAAAACTTAATTATGTGTATTATACATAGAAAAAAATGTACAAGCGCACTAAAAACAGTAAAAAATATACACTATATTATCTCTTGTATACCAAAGTAGGTATAAAAAAAAATCAACTTGCCTTTGAATTATTAAAATTATATTTATAAATTTAAACATTTAAAAATTAATTTTTTTGATAATGAAATAAAAACAATATTGAAATTAAGACGCACACTAGTTAGTGTACTTGTGGTATGAAAATAAAAAGTAAATTATCAAATATTAAAAACAAATTTACGAAATTAATTATTGGAAGTACTTATTTTCTAAAATAGTTTTAGTAAGAATATGAAGGATTTTTTTTAACAAGTTGACCTTTTATATATTTTATCTAAAGATTGGATTTTAGTACAATTGTAATTTTTTATTGAGTATTACTTTATTATTACAGTTAAACTTAGTATTTAATATAACACAATAGATAAAAAATATGACAACCATAAATGACCAATACATGGACAGCAATTACAATGCAATCTACTTACCCATGGCATTAGGAAAAAAATGTACATGAATAATGAAAAATCAAAATTTTTTTTTATAAAATATTTTAAATTAGATAAAATTATTTATACTTTATAATGATAAGTATGTTTATAAGTAGATAGGTAGTCAAAGACTAGATTAAATAGACACTATAGTATACTTAGGGAGCAATATCACATGTGATGGTAAAAGCATCAGAGATATAAAACAACACATACGATTGGCAAAAGTAAACAGCTTTTTGAAAGATTAACTTCACTTCAAAAAAAGTTGCAACTCTATATTTTAAGAGGAGATTTATTCAAATATATTTTTGAACAGTATATATAGAAGCAAATCATGGATCTAAAACTATATTGAAAACGTGCTGTTAGATAGAAAGGAACTTAAAAAAAAATTTTATTGATGGATGCAATAAAATAAAGGTATTGTAACTGACCTAAGGCACTTAAAATTCAAAAGAGATGTATAATACAATAAATATTGAGGATATGATTGAATAGAAAATTGCAGGGTATCCTCATAGCATTTAAGCAGGACAAACTAAAAATGATGCAAGTCAAAATTTTTAAGGAACAAAAGAAATTGTAAGTGGTTAACTAATACGGGGAGTTGGAATTGTAGATCTAAAAAACATATATATTTATATATATATATATATATATATAAAATAACATAGATAATAAAGCGTGTAAAACTATGAAAAGAACACAAAACATCACATTAGATACTAGTCACGAGCTGCCACAAAACCACTAATTAAATTATACCTTCAACACTTTTTCGAAATTATGATGAACACTAAGGTCTTTCACTTTAATACCAGCTTCTTCATCAGTTTCTCGAATAGCTGCATCCATGTTGGATTCATTTTCCTCTAAGTGACCTGTAATTAACATAAGTCAATACATTAAACAATTAGATCAGTCATGTTTAGTTGTTGAATTTATACCTTTTGGTGGAGTCCAATGATGATTTTCATAAGAAGCTTGCATAAGTAAGTACTCAACTATTTCATCACAGTTTTTTCTATAAATCACAAATCCAGCAGCTCTTCTTACAGCCTTAGACATGGTTTACTTTTAAATTATATTAAATACTTAAATTTTTATAATTTTATTGTAAGTGATAATTAAAGTTTAATATCTAGAACTATTAGAAGCAATTTTAAAGGTTGTTCCATTAAATGGTTGAACATTTATAAACATTTTAAAATGATATTAGATAATGTTAATCAAAATAAACTAAGACCGTGGTATCAGCATAGATAAATACAAAATGTATCATAATATATATTTATTGTTTGGTGTGTTGTATATCTATTGTATCAGCCGGTAGTTGGAAAAAATTTAAAAATTTTCAAAATATGAGTGATGGAAATAATGCAACGGACACGTTAATAATAAAATATATTGTAATTTTTAAAACCATAATTCATTGTTTCGGTGTTCTATTGATGGACGAACTTATGCTATTTACAAGTCTAGAAAATAGGCAGTAAAAAAATATAAAATTACGAATAATTTATAATATCATAAACTGTTTTGGAGTGTTAAGCCTAAAGATTTACCTATATAGGATTAGGGATTCCAGATTTATTTTTTTTTAATACGGGATATTTTAAATCATACCTATTCTTGTAGTTGATATTGGTGTTAATTTTGAAAAGGGGTGAGGGGACTTATGTTAGCAATTAAAATATTACAAAATTAAATGTGTTATCATACAAATACTTAGTAAACATTTGGTAGGTAAAATTACATATTTTTGCCTTGATGTAAGATTTCATTTTTCTCACAGGTACTAAATATACTATAAAATTAAGTTAAACTCAATCATAGTCAAATAATAATTATTAATTATCAATAATATATAATGATGTAAAATATATAGATGTAATGGTTTAGGTAAAAAACTAAATAATATGAAAAAATTTAATTTTTAAAATAAGGTACCTACATACAAGACGGAATAGACAGATTATTCAAAATACGGGACAATCCCGTAAAATACGAGACGTATGGGATCCCACCTAGAATTTGGGAGTAAGCACTATCAGTGGCGTAACTTCAAAATTTGAGCAGGAAACGATAAAATTTCACAGCTCTTCCCTAATCTACTCAAATATCCAAAAGATGTCAAGGGTTTTCGCCTATTTTTATTCACACTTTTAATATTATTATAGATAGGTACTTTAATAGTGCACACTATACATATATCGTACTACGAACTGTCTCGGAATTTATGATATAAAAATATGTGTCCACCTTAGCTAATGTAAAATACGCATTAGCACTAATACATTTTCTTGTACTAAAACTATGTTTAAAAGGGAGCGTAAGAAGCACATCAACTGTTATGTCCGCAGTCATGTGTCTGTTATGACACATAAAAATTGAATTGGTAATATTATTTACCTACTATCATTGCGATATTGCCCATTGGTACAGGCTCATAAAATTCAAATTCAATTCAACTTTGTTTTGAATCATTTAAATAATTACCTAACCTTTAACCTTCTTATTATAATACATGTTATGTTTAAGAAATAATATAAATCATAATATAGGTATACGATATACGGGTATTTAAGCATTAAGCCTGGTGCTTAGTGCGCATTGTGATCACTTTCGTAAATGTATCCCACTGGCCACTACTAATGTCTATAGCAGCGGTTCTCATCTTTTTAGTACTGCGACCCAAATTTCCCCCGAAAAATCTCTAATGACCCACATGGTTTCACTTTTCAAAAAGTAGTTAAATAAAAAAAAAATTAATTTAAAATAATATAATATAATATATTTTAATTTTTTTAACAAAATTTGTTTATTAGGTTTAAATATTATTTTTATTATTGTATAGGTTTATAATCAATATATTTTTACAAATTTACTTTAATTAATAATAATCTGTTTTACATTAATTTAACATACATTTCTTGGAATCTATATAATTTAAAAAACTGTTCGCGACCCATCAAAAATTGACCGACGACCCACAGTTTGAGAAACGCTGGTCTATAGCTATGTATGGAACGAAATGGACTGATTTCAAAAGTTGTATAATCATTAGATTAATTTATTAAGACAATCTTAAAATGTAATATAAATTATAATTAATTATTAAATGTTCCCTAGTAGAATATCTGAATATAGTACATCAGGTCTGTGAGTGGTGTGACATAATATTTAGCCTAGAATAATTGCCAAAATGGAAATCTTATTTATTTTTTTAAATATTTTATTAAACTGGTAAACTAATTAAAGACCTCCATGATATAAATTAAGAAAGAATGATGCTATAATATGTGAAGGTTGTTTGTAACTTCTCAGTGAAATAAATTATGAAAGCCCGAAAGAATTTTTAGTTTGATAATTTTCAATCATAAATAACATTAAGTCAAAAATATAACTTTTTTTTATATAAATTTTAAATTTTAAATAAATAATAAATCAACTGTTTATAGTTTATTTTCAGTTATTTATTATTTGGGATCTGGCAAGTAGAAAATTATTATTGCAAATACATTAATTACTCCAATTAAAATAATACTTGGTAAAAATGAATCAGATTTCTATAGTAAGAACACTTTCATGGTACCTATAGAAAATATAACATCCAAAATTATCTACATCAAAATTAAATAAAATTACTCAGTAGTTCTAACACCAGAACACTGAGTAATCAAACAGTTCTAATCTAGGCATGACAATTATTTTTAATATTTGAGTTGGTTACATCATACTATAAATAATATGCATTAGATGGCTAAGATAAATTATGTTAACTTTGGATCAGCTGCAGATTATTGAGTTTTGAATTAATTAAATTTTTGCACATTAAGAGTAAATATATTTGTTTGATTTATAATTTGAACTGTAAATAATCATTTTAGTCAGTACTCAACAGAGGCAAGTACTGAAAAGATAAAATATTTTAGAACATTTACATGTTACTAAGAAGTCTAAATACATGTTATCAATTAACTGGTACGGCGATAAGAGCATTTAATTATGATTTGAACATAAAATTTCACACATTTATTAATAACTTTAAACAGGTATACTATATACTATATTTTATTTCATTTTTAATTGTTAAAATGATTCAATAGGTATATTAATCAGACTTGTATAGTTTTGTTTTCATTTAAAGTTACATTTTTTTTTTTTTTTTTTTTTTTTATTATTATTAATTTAAACATTTTTTTTTTTTTTAAATTCTTGGACAACAAAAACGCAGACCGCAATAAAACATGATTTGTATTATTAAAAAGTGGAACATTTTCTCGATATTATTCTCTCAACTAGAGAAACACATAATTGATACAAGTTATAATCATAATAATGATGAGAACAAATTATTTTTCTTATAGCGATGAATCTTATCTAGTAGTGGTTGGATATCTGAAAAAAAAAAAACATTTCACTAAAAAAACTTATAAATAATAAATCATACAGATATTAATATATATGTGGATTTAAAGTTATTTAAATAATAGATTAATGATAATACTAAAAAAAAATATAAATCTGTAATGTTTTCAATAAATTAAAAATTAGTTTTTATATTTATAACAAAAAAGATAGATTTTGATATTTGAAATAGCGATTATGATTAATAATTAAAACTATTTGTCTAAAATCTAATAAAAAAATTAATAAATAAATATTTTACCTTCTTTAACTTTGTTGTCTAACATCTTTACAATAAGATTAAACCGATTAACTCTAGTCATGGCTGTTAAGTATTCTATAATAAGATCTAATTCACTATTGGGATCAAATTTCTGGTTTAAGGTTTCCAAAAACTTGGACATAATTTCTTCATCCAAATTTGTACTTATAACTAAATAAAACACAAAATCATTAGCTATTAGTTATTTATGATAATTAAGTATAAGTAACAAGTAAAACATATAAATCTCAAATATATTTGTGTGTTTAAAATCTAACTGTAGCAATATTTAGATGCAATAATAATTTAGTATTAAGTTCCTTTGAATTAAAATTTAATATTTTTATATTTATCTAGATTGGTGATCAGAGGATTATAAATGGTCTATATGGCAATCACAGAAAACTAAGTGCTAGTAGACAAAAAATGTATGCCAATGTACTGTACAAAAAGTATTATTATTATTTTTTTTTTATTAATAATAAGAGATAAATGTATGTAAATATACCAACATTATAAAATACACTATTAAGTGGTAACAGTAAGTTATAATTTTTGAGTTTCTAAAAATGTTTCACAGGTATGAAATTAGTAGTTAAAAACAATAATAAAAATATAAATATATTACACATCAATAGATTTAACATAAAAATAAATAATAAATAAATTGATTTTTTGATTTGCTAAAACATAATATAAATTTAATTAAATTTTGTAAAAATAATTTCAGTCATTTATATTTTAACACATAATATAGTTGTTATTACAAACACTAATACATTATGATTTGCAGACTCATAATTTTTATTCAAGTTAACATGTAAAGATAACTATTAGCACAGTACTTACCCCTAGGTAAATCTTTTGGTTTAATACTCCGCAAGAGTTTATGATATAATTCATAGTTATTTTTTTGATTGGCTATTTTCCAGGTTTGCAAAAATTCTTGAACATTAGACACTGGTTTCATATTTATTTCGTTGTTGTCACAATTTTTACAAAGAGATTTATCAATTCCATTGATTTTATTACCATTCATTTTCTGAAATGTATAGTATAATTTTTACAAAAGTGTGAATATAATTAAAAAACAAAAGTTAAAGAACTCAATTCTAACCGTTGAATTATAATGACCATTCATTTTAGCTGAGTTAATTTCATTATTGCAAATTTTCTGAAATATATAATAATATAAATATAGTAAATAAAATTATGACATTAAGTCAAAAAATTAAATAAGAACCGTTGAATTATGATGACCATTTGTTTTAGCAGAGTTCATTTCAATAATGTTCAATCTTTTTGGTTTTTGAATTTCTGGAGCTAAAGATGTAGACAATAATATAGGCACGATATCAGGTGTTAATAATTGCCAACGTTTCTTTGGTCCTTCATTTTTAAACATTTTATGACGACCCCATTTTTTTTTACGCTGCTGCCATTCATGCCAAGGACACAATTGACAAACACATTCTGTTAAACAACCAAAAGAATCGGCTTCATACACATACTCAACATTGTCTTTGATTAATTCTG